CAAAAAAAAAATAAAATAAAATAAATTCAAGAGGATAGTTCAGTTCAACTTTAAAATGGAGTCCTTTAAAAGTGCTTTTATTTAATTTGGTTTTTGATTCTAGTGGAGTGTGGTTCTTCTAAGTTTGTGTTCACACCTACCCTCAAAAACCTAAATTATGGGCTGTGGGCACAGTGGCTCACGCCTGTAATGCCCAGCACTCTGGGAGACCAAGGTGGGTGGATCGCCTGAGGTCAGATTTCAAGGACACCCTGGCGCACATTGGGTGAAACTCTCGTCTCTACTAAAAACAAAAACTTAGTCAGGTGTGGTGGTGCACATCTATAGTCCCAGCTACTAGGGGGCGAGGCAGAGAATTGCTTGAACATGGGAGGGGAGGTTTGCAAGTGGAGCGGGACTGCACCATTGCACTCCAGGCCTGGTGACACAGCGAGCTCGTCCTCAAAAAATACAAAACAAAAACAACACAAAGAGAAGAACCACCAAAAACCTAAATTAGGAAGATATAAAATTATTATCTCTGTATGCACGTTACCTTTAACAGGTTACACATACAAGAAACATGTGATTTCCAAGAATACTTTTTTTTTTTTTTTGAGACGGGAGTCTCGCTTGTCACCCAGGCTAATGCAAGTGCCGGATCTCAGCTCACTGCAACTCCGCCTCCCAGGTTCATGCCATTCTCCTGTCCAGGGCCTCCCACATAGCTGGGACTACACAGCACCCTGCCACCGTCGCCGTGCAGTTTTTTGTATGTTTTAGTAGAGACGCCGCGTTCACCGTTTAGCCAGGGATAGGTCTCGATCTCCTGACCTCGGTGATCCGCCCGTCTCGGCCTCCCAAACAAGGCGGGTATTACAGGCTTGAGCCACCTGCGCCGCGGCCTCCAAGAATACTTTTAAAAATAAGCACTTTAATCCCTTTACAAAGTCATTCTTGGAGCCGGGCGCGGTGGCTCAAGCCTGTAATCCAGCACTTTGGGAGGCCGAGACGAGCGGATCACGACGGTCAGGAGATCTGAGACCCATCCTGGCAACACGGTGAAAGCCGCTCGTCTCTTAAAACATCAAAAACACTAGCATGGCGACGGTGGCGGGGTGCCTGTAGTCCAGCGTATTGTGGGGAGCTGGAGACGAGAATGCATGACCTGGGAGGCGGAGCTTGCAGTGAGCTGGAGATCGGCACTGCCACTCTAGCCCTGGGTGACAAACGCGAGACTCCGTCTCAAAAAAAAAAAAAAGATATTTTCTTGGAATCACATTTTCTTGTAGTGCTAACTGTACGGAACAGGTGCATACATACTTATATACTTTATATCTTTCCTAATTTAGGTTTTTGGGTGGTTTTTTTTGTTTGTTTTTGTTTTTGTATTTTTTGAGACAGAGTCTCGCTGTGTCACCCAGGCTGGAGGTGCAATGGTGCAGTCTCGGCTCACTGCAACCTCCACCTCCCATGTTCAAAGCAATTCTCTTGCTCAGCCCCTGAGTCAGCTCGGGCACTATAGATGTGCACCACCACACCTGAACTAATTTTTGTTTTATTTTTAGTAGAGACGGAGAGTTTCACCATGTGGGCCAGCGGTGCGTCTTCGACGACTCCTGACCTCAAGTCGATCCACCCACCCCTGGTCTCCCAGCAGTGCTGGGTTACAGGCGTGAGCCACTTGTGCCCGCCCATTTAATTTTAGAGTTTTGAGGGTAAGTGTGAACACAAACTTGAATGAAACCACACTCACTAGAATCAAAACCAAATTAAATAACGCACTTTTAAAGGGGAACTTCCATTTAAGTTGAACTAGGACTTATCCTCTTGAATTTATTTTCTTTTATTTTTTTTCGAGGATGGAGTTTCGCTCTTGTTACAATCTCAGCTTGCTGGCAACCTTCCACCTCCTGAGTTCAAGTGATTCTCCTGCTCAGGCCTCCCAAGTAGCGGATTACAGTGTGCCGCCACCATGCCCGTCCTACTTTTTATATTTCTTAGTAGAGAGGGTTTCAGCATGTTGGCCAGGGCTGGTCTTGAACTCCTGACCTCAAGTAATCCATCCCACCTTGGCCTCCACTGTTGATGGGTTATTACAGGCGTGAGCCCCGTGCCTCCTTCTTGAATATATTGAAGTTGAACAGCCTGCCGGGCGTGTGGCTCATGCCGTGATCCCAGCACTTTGGGAGGCCAAGGCCGGTGGATCATGAGGTCAGGGAGATCGAGACCATCCTGGCTAACGCAGTGAAACCCGTTCTCTACTAAATACAAAAAATTTAGCTGGGTATGATGGTGCGGTGCCTGTAGGTCCCAGCTACTCTGGAGGCTGAGGCAGAAGAATGGGTGAACCCCGGGAGGCGGAGCTTGTAGTGGAGCCGAGATTGCGGCCCAGCACTCCAGCCTGGCAACCAGAGTGAGACTCCGTCTCAAAAAAAAAAAGAAAAGAAAAAGTTTTACAAACTAGAACCCACGATTATATTCCCTAAATGGGCGAAAAAAAAGTATTCTTCAAATTGATTCAGCAAGCTTTATTTAATTTGGACCCATAGACCAATTCACATATCTAGCTGTTTGCTCATTACTTAGTTCCAGTAAAAATGTTTCACAGCACTACCACGATTGTAGTATTAGGATAATTGCTTAGTACATAAGGGTCTTTTTTACTTGTCAGCAACTTGAGATGTTGCCAATAGGTAAAAATCTGATGGCGGCGGATCTGTGGCATATGTGGTTTATGGTTTAGGAATTTTCTCTAACACTTTACCTCCTTCTTTGGCCGGAGTATTGTGTTAAATCCAATAGAGGGAAAAGTTTGATTCAAGCCTGTAGTTTTCCCACCATTTCCTTGAACTTGTTGCCATTGGTTTGTGGATTAAGCCGTATGGGCGTGCTGACTCATAACTTGGCCTTGTTTCTGTCTTTCATGTTTATAAACACTTTTGCTGCACCAGGCGTGTTTTCACTACCCCAAGGAAGTCTTAAAAATGATCAAAGCTTTTTTTCCCTGCCCTGTAGGGCACAGTAGCTTTGAGGATCTGCCCTGACTCCCAGCTTGAACAATTGTGGAGTAGCTCTCACCCTGACTGTGGTCCGTAGCTTGAGGCCCTGATGAGTCACCACATCCTGGCTGTCATTTCAGGTGAACCACTGTCTACCAGAGAAGATTGTGTATACCGTGGATGGAAGTGTCTGATGGCCAACTGAAGACAGTTGACCACTACTGAGATTCCTCAACTACAGAAGTGTTTTGAGGCTTTTGAGAATTTATCAGCCCAAGATGGTCGGTGTTTGTAGTTCAGAGAAAATCAGTACAATCTATATCTGGCTGCTCCTCGGCCTTTGTGACTTCCTACTCTGGAACTGTCGGTAGATCATCAATAACAAGCGTGGTGAGTGGTAGGTGGATAAAATATGTAGTATTTTGGAGGAAGAAATAACGTTGGACATGTTATCCTTTCCTAGTATTTGGAATGGGGAGGTTTCCTGCGAGAGGTGTGGACTAGAATCTCAGAGATGCTACCATTAAAAGAATGAAGCTTTAAAAATATTAAGGCCTGGCACGAGTGGCTCACCAACCAGTAATCCAACACTTTTTGGAGGCCGAGGACTGGTAGTCACCTGAGGTTCAGGAGTTCAAGACCAGCCTGGCCAACATGGCAAAACCCTGGTTACTAAAATACAAAAATTAACATGTGTGATGGTGTGTGCCTGTAATCCCAGCTTACTCAGGGAGATTGAAGACAGGGAGAATCCACTGAACCCAGGGAGGCAGAGGTTGCAGTAACGCTCAGATCAGGTACTTGTAATCCAGCCTGGGCAACAGAAAAGAGGACTCTGTCTTCAAAACAAAAAAGATTAAAAACAAGAAAGCCTTTTACCTGTAAGTGTAAAGTTGAGCATACCATTGTTTTGTTAAGATCAGTGTCATGCTTACTTCTAAAGGTAGATAGGGGATTTCTACACATTTTCTTTTTTTTTTTTTTTTTTTTTTCCTTTTGAGGCAAGGGTTCTCGCTTTGATCGTCCAAGCTGGAGTGCAATGATGTAATCTCAGCTTACTGCAGCCTCAACCTCCTTAGGCCCAGGTGATCCTTCCACCTCAGCCTCCTGAGTAGGTGGGACAATAGGCGTATGCCCAACTAATAGTTGTAATTTTTGTAGAGATAGGGTCTTGCCGTGTTGCCCAGACTGGTCTTGAACTCCCGGGCTCAAGAAATCTGCCTGCCTCAGCCTTCCAAAGTGCCAGGATTACAGGCGTGAGTCACTGCACCCAGCCTGCTACCAGCACCACCATTCTTCAGTAGCCTCTTGAGTCAGGAGACCTGGGTTCTAATCCTGGCCTGGCCTCTGTGTCCTTGGTCTAGTCATTTGACCTCGCTGAGCCTTAGTCGAAGGAGCTAGAATGATCTCCAGGATCTTTGCCAGCTCTGTCTGGCCGAATACGACCATATCACTGATTTGTGGTTTTTCCTTCCTAGGGTGGATTTCTACCTTCTTGCCCATCATGTACGGCAGGGCTGTGGCATTCCTACGCATTATGTCTGTGTTCTCAACACTGCAAACCTGAACCCTGATCATATGCAGAGGTGGGCCCGTCAGTAACTTACTCTTTCTCTTTCTTAAATAATTCCGGCGTGCTAGCTAAGATGGATTCACTCTTCACCCTCAAATACATTTACCTCTTGACTTTCTTCTTCATATCTGTGACAATACTGGTGTCTTTTTGAGGAGTGATTAGAAATCCTGGTTTTGTATTAAAATTAGTTAAAGAGCTTTAAAAAATGTTGATGCCAGGCTTCCCCCCAAATATTCTGAGGCATCTGTATTTTTTAAATCTGTTCCAGGTGATTATGATATACAGCCAGACTTGAGACCCAACGTCATTGAGTTCAGATTATGTAAATACTCCACTAGGGTACTTACCTTTCTCCAGCCTTTTCTTGTAAACAAGAAATATTTTCTCTTTGTTTTCCTATAAAAACAGGAGGCCAGTGCGGTGGCTCTTGCCTGTAATCCCAGCACTTTGGGAGGTTGAGGTGGGCGGATCACCTGAGGCCAGGAGTTTGAGACCAGCCTGACCAACATGGCAAACCCCTCACCCCCATCTCTACTAAAAATAGAAAAATTAGCCGGGCGTGGTGGCGCATGCCTGTAATCCCAGCTACTCGGGAGGCTGAGGTGGGAGAGTCTCTTGAACCGAGGAGGAGGAGGTTGCAGTGAGCTGAGATTGCGCCATTGCACTCCAGCCTGGGCAACAGAGCAAGACTCCGCCCTTAAAAAAAAAAAAAAAACACAGGGAAGTGCCTACATTGAGAAGATTTACCCATTTGTCTGACTTATGAATAGTGAGAATAGAAACAAGTCCACTTAAAAATAATGATTCTAAAAAGCTGCATCATGTATTCCTCTGCTCCCCAGTTTTCAGGAAGGTGTGCTCTGTGTCATATGCCTGTGGGTATTGTATTGTATTGCATGCCACAAATTGAAGGTGGAGGATGATGAGAATTATATATTCTTCTTGGCCTACAGGCTGACTTTCAAACTGTGCCACATGTACTGGAATTGGCCTGGCACCATCAGAGTTCCAGCTCCTTGCAAGTATGCCCACAAGCTAGCTTTCCTGTCAGGACATATCCTGCATCATGAACCAGCCATCCAGCTGTGCGAGAACCTGTTCTTCCTGTGACTGCGCAGCCTGGAGATGGGCTGGTGAGAAGACAGGCAGCCTCTGAACTCAGCTGTGACTATTGCAGAGTCAACGGAGACTGAAGTGGGCTTTTGTGTTATTTTCCCTTTCTCCAATCCTGTAGAATAAGATTTCTTTTTTGTCTTTTAAAGCTCATATTGCCAAGAAGTAAGTTTCTAAGTAACAGCTGAAAATGGCCTTGTTGTCTATGTGGAGCAAGTTACGGTAGTACTGCTGCTCTGTAGGTAGAGCAGGTGACTCTGGGGGACCATTAAGAGCCTCCAGCCAGGCGCGGTGGTTCATACCTGTAGTCCAAGCACTTTGGGAGGCCGGGGTGGGTGGATCATGAGGTCAGGAGATCGAGACCATCCTGGCCAACATGGTAAAACACCATCTCTACTAAAATACAAAAAAATTAGCCTGGCGTGGTGGTGCACGCCTGTAGTCCCAGCTACTCAGGAGGCTGAGGCAGGGAAATCCCTTGAACCCAAGACCGGGAGGTGGAGGTTTCAGTGAGCTGAGATTGTGCCACTGCACTCCAGCCTGGTGACAGAGCAAGACTCTGTCTCAAAAAAAAAAAAAAAAAAAAAGCCAACATGAGCTGCAGAAACCTGCAGAAGCAGCCATTATACTTCTAAGCTGTGCCCACCAAGTGGTTCCCATTTCTGGAGCCAGAGATGATAATTAATGAAGTCATCGCATGTTTCCTAAAGAGAATAACTCAGGCAACTGGGAAAGGCAGTGGAAGGTCTGTGAAGCAAAGTTTTCGAGTAGATACTGCTATTACTGGCAGGTGTGCAAGGCGCGTAGTAAAATCAGTTTGTGGCATAGGTAGGCCCTTGCTGACTAAATCCTTTCTGGGGATTGAATTGATGATGTCCTGTGACTTGAGGTGGATTTGAAAATGGCTTCCCTTGGCCTCTTGAAAGAGTGCAGATGAAGCTTTTTCCATGGCTTTCTGTAACTTTCCAGCATACCATGTCGATTTCTTCCTCCCCCAAATATACACATGCTCTTTTGCTCTTTGTGCCTGGTCTTCAGTAATTTTTAGTTTTTTAACAGGTGGAAAAAATCTAGCAGCTAGGAAAGTTCAGGTTGGGGTGGGAGTTTTTAGTGAGCTTTTCTCCCAAGTGTGTGGCCTTTATTTCTATTTATATATGTTTGTAAATGGAGTGACCCCCTTTCTCTTGCAAAATAACCTCTTCCTGGCTGTTGGCTCACTTTGCTGGAATTTTTCTGAATCCAGGTTAAGATTTCCAGAAGTCAGCTTTGGAAAACGTGACACTCCTACCAAAGTCCAGACGGTTTAGAAAGTTGTCACACACCATGGGTTTCAGTGTTTTTGGAAAGCTGTTTTTTTCTGTTTTTCCCCCCCTCCATTTTAGAATCTTCTCCCAGTCCCTTTGGGCCTAGTTCTGTCTCATCTTGCTTTATTGGGTTTTAAAAGCCAGTCTTATTTAACCTTTTCTAATTTGTATTTATGTACTTATTTATTTTTTGGTATGATGGCAGGGAGGGGACAAAGCAGAAATACCCCTTTTATATGACAGTGTGTGAGAAAAGAAACTTTAACTTAAAAATCCTTAAAATGTGCTCACTTCAGCAGCACATATACTAAAATTGAAATGATATAAAGAAGATTAGCATATAGAAAAAAAGAAAAAATATTTCCTTAAACCAAGAAAACCAAGAATGTTTTTAGTTTGTTGCGGTGCCCAGCAGAGGTTGAGGAGGGATGGGTGTTGTTGGTGCACTTCTGGTTTCATTTGGAGTGTGGGACATTAGGGTGAGACAAGGACCTGGAATTTAAAAACCACGGAATCAAACACTGTGAACCACTGGTCTCTGGCTAAACAGATCAGTTTTCTGATTTTCTTTGGAAGCATTTTGAATTTTTCTGTTGAAGTTAGATTTCCTAATAGTCTTTTTCTCTTAGATAATCAGAACAAATGGTTGAATACATTATAATACAAAAATTCCTTCACTTTTTATTCTTGGTTTTCTTGCCTTGTTTTTCGGTTTTAATGCCAAATGATTGGGTCATGGGGTGGGAAATAAAAACAACTTTGTATAACAATGTGTAGTTGTGTTTGAAATAATGTCATTTATTTATTATTATATTGATGTAATTATTTTTCTTCAGAGAGCTGCAGCACTTCCTAGAAACACTCATTACTCTGCTTTAAGGTGCAACTCCAGTGTTAGTAGTCAGGTAATTTCATCATGAGCTAGATAAGAAGACTTATTGAAAAAGACAGTAGCCGCCTCACTTCTCGGACAGATGAGGCACTTTTACTCTGTGTGTGTGTGTGTCTGTGTGTGTGTGTGTGTGTGTGTGTGTGTGTGTGTGGTTTTTAGCTCTCTTTTTCCCATGAGACAATTTCTGTTACCCTAGTGAGAGCCAACTTGCAAGGGCAGCCTCCTCACCACTCCACTCTTTTAACGCTTGCCCTTCTTTACATATACCTCACTGTGTGTCTGTCACCATTGAAATACCTTCCCTGGGTACAAAAATCCTGTTAGAAGGAATAAGATCTGGTGTTCAGTGGCACAGTAGAGCAACTATAGTTAACAAAAATTTATTGAACTTTCAAAATACAGGAGTGGAATTGGAATGTTCCTAACACAAAGAAATGATAAATGAGCCAGGTGCCATGGCTCAGGCCTGTAATCCCAGCACTTTGGGAGGCTGAGGTGGGTGAATCATTTGAGCTCAGGACTTCAAGACCAGCCTGGGCAACATAGCAAGACCCTGACTCTACAAAACATACAAAACTTGGCCAGGCTTGGTGGTGTGTGCCTATAGTCCCAGCTACTCAGGAGACTAACGCAGGAGGATTGCTTGAACCCAGGAGGCAGAGGTTGCAGTGAGTCAAGATTGTGCCACCACCCTCCAGCCTGGGTGACAGCAAGATTCTGTCTCAAAAAAAAAAAAAAAGAAAAAAGATAAATGTTTGAAGTGATAGTCAGTTACCCTGATTTGATTCTTACACATCATATGCTTGTATCAGAATATCACATGTATGCCATAAATACGTAACACTACTATGTATCCAAAAATTGTAAAAGTTTCATGTACCTTCCCAAAGCACCTAGCTGCTCACTTAAGCACTACATTTCTTTAGAATACTACAGTTTTCCTATTTATTTAGAAACTCTGTGCTTCCTGAACTCATTCTAGAAAGAACCTCATTTCTGTGCAGTAGTCTCTTATCCATGGGGAATACATTTGAATACCCCCAGCGGTTGCCTGAAACCTCAGATGGTACTGAATCCTATATATACGGTACTATGTTATTTGAATCTGAAACTCAGGATGTCTATTAAGTGACTAATGTGTGGCATCACTGGTGTGGACATTCTGGACAGACATGATTCATGTTCCCGGGGGATGGAGTGGGACAACGTGAAGTTTCATCACACTGCTCAGAACAGTTTGCAATTTATAACATGAATTTCTGGAATTTTCCATTTAATAGTTTTGGACTTTGGCTGACCAAGGAAACCTCAGAAAATGAAACCATGGTAAGGAGGGACTGCTGTACGGTGTGACAGGGTCCTGTTTACTTGGGCAGCATTTTGTTGAATGGTGTGAAAAATGAAGGAATTTTAGAAATGACTGTATATTTTAAAACCTTAAAATTTGGGCCTGAAATTAATTTTTCTAGAGACTTGGGATTATTAGAGAAGACCCTGATTTTTCTTTCTGGCTCTGTGGCTAGCTGAGTTACTTAGTAACTTTTCCTGCCTAGAGTTTTCTTTTTTTCAAAAAATGAGGAACATCAAGAGCATGAGAACAAAAGCCACAGACTGAAAGAAAATATTTGCAGAATGCACATCTGATCAAGGATTGTTATCCAAAATATCCAAAGAACTCTTTAAACTTAATAAGGAAGCTAGTCAGTTTTTTTTTTTTTAATCGGCAGTAGACCTGTACAGACATCACCAAAGATGCACAGATGGTATATAAGCGTATGAAAAGATGCTCCACATCATATATCCATATGAAAAGATGCTCCACATCATATATCCTTAGGGAACTGCAAATTAAAACAAGGTACCCATTCCATACCTGGTAGAATAGCCAAAATCCAAAACACTAACAACGCCACATGCTAGTGAGGTTGCAGAGCCACAGGAAATGATACAGCTACTTGAGAAGAGAGTTTTCAATAAAAGTAAACAGGATTACAAAACAACATACATAATCTTATCACATGGTACAGCAGTCATACTCCTTGGTGTTTATTTACCCAAAGGGGATGAAAACTCATGTCCACACAAAAGCCTGCACACGGACATTCATAGGAGCTGTATTCATCATTTCCAAAACTTGGAAGCATCCAAGATGTACTTCAGTAGGTGAATGGATAAACTGCACCACGACAGTGGAATATTATTCAGCACTAAAAGGAAAGGAGCTATCAAGTCATGGAAAGACACAGAGGAACTTAAATATATATTACTTAATTGGAAAAAGCCAATCTGGAAAGGCTATATATGACTGCAACACATGACATTGTGGAAAAGGCAAAACTGTAGATAGTAGAAGGATCAGCAGTTTGGCCAGGTGCAGTGGCTCACACCTGCAATCCCAGCACTTTGGGAGGCTGAGGTGAGCAAATCTTGAGGTCAGGAGTTCGAGGCCAGCCTGGCCAACATGGTGAAACCCCGTCTCAACTAAAAGTACAAAAATTAGCTGGGTGTGGTGGCGGGCACCTGTAATTCCAGCTACTCGGGAGACTGAGGCAGGAGAATCGCTTGAGGCAGGAGGCGGAGGTTGCAGTGAGCTGAGATCACACCATTGCACTCCAGCCTGGGTGATAAGAGCAAAACTCTGTCTCAAAAAAAAAGGATCAGCAATTGTGGAGAGAGAGATGAATGGGCAGAAACAAAGGATTTTTAGGGCAGTGGAACTATTCACTGTGATGCTGTAATGGTGAATACATGTCATTATGAATCTGTCTGATCCCACAGAATGTACACCAAGAGTGAACCCTGATGTAAACTATGGACTCTGGGTAATATGTCAGTGTAGGTTTATCAGCGATAACAAACTTACCAGGGAAAAAAGGAGAAGGGAGTGGGGAAGGGAGGAAGGTTAATATTTGTTACAAGAAGGAAAGGGAAGCCGAGTGGTACTAGCACAGCTCCCAGGATTCTGGTTTCATTCCAGGTAGGGCCAGGACATAACAGCCTGAGCCCCTGCGAAGTGCAGGATTGCTACAGCTGAGTCTCCTGCATGAAGAGAGCAGGAAGCTGGAAGGGGACTAGAGAACCCTGTGCCAATCATGCTGGGGCAGCCACAGGGAAATGTGGTGTTTGACCAGGGAAATGGATACGGTGAAAAAGACATCCATGAAAAATCCCCAAGCCTGGACCACGTACGGATGTGTGTAGCCTGAATTTTTGTTACCAGCATGCTGAAGGGCCACAAGCTGAAAAATTAACATAAAGATTGGCCCAGACTTGTGAAAGCTCCAGAGCCTTGTGGACACCAATGCAGTCCATTAGATTGTCCCACAAAGAGGTATAAATAGGACCTATGGAAGAGAAGAGAGCAGAGAGAATGAGCAGGTCCAACATGTGTCTGAGAAGTTCCTGCAGGTTAAAATAGAATAGGTGGCACACAGTATGGAAGATGCAAAGACTGAGAATTTTCCAGAATGAAAGATATGTGCCAGTGTAGTGGCTTATACCTGTAATCCCAGCACTTTGGGAGGCCAAGGTGGGTGGATCTCGAGCTCAGGAGTTTTAGACCAGCATGGGCAACATGGTGAAACTCTGTCTCTACAAAAGAAATAAGAAATTAGCCAGGCATGGTGGCACATGCCTGTAGTCCCAGGTACTCAAGAGGCTGAGGTGGGAGGATCACTTGAGCCCAGGAGGTTAAGGATGCAGTGAGCTGTGATCGCACCACTGCACTCCAGCCTGGGTGACAGAGTGAGACCTTATCTCAAAAAAAAAAAAAAAAAAAAAATCATCCAACTGAAGAAACGTACTGGGGATAAAGAAAAGCATATATCGCTGGGCGCTGTGGCTCACACCTGTAATCCCAGCACTTTGGGAGGCTGAGGCAGGCAGATCACATGAGGTCAGGAGTTCGAGACCAGCCTCCTGGAGAAACCCCATATCTACTAAAAATACAAAATTAGCCAGGCGTGGTGGTGCATGCCTGTAATCCCAGCTACTCGGGAGCCTGAGGCAGGAGAATCGCTTGAACCGGGGAGGTGGAGGTTATGGCGAGCTGAGATTGCACCATTGCACTCCAGCCTGGGCAACAAGAGTGAAACTCCGTCTCAAAAAAATAAATTTAAAAAAAGCATATCCATTGCTAGATAAACTATAGTGAAACTATAGAACATGAAAGACTGAGAATCATGAAAACAAAACAGCCAGATACGATCCAGCAATTCCACTATTGGGTATATACCCAAAGGAACTGAAATCAGTATGCTGGGTGGGGCATGGTGACTCACACCTGCAATTCCAGCACTTTGGGAGGCCGAGGAGGGTGGATCATTGGAGGCCAGGAGTTCCAGACCAGCCTGGCCAACCTGTTGAAAACCTGTCTCTACTAAAAATACAAAAATCAGCTGGGTGCGGTGTTCCACGCCTGTAATCCCGGCTACTCAGGTGGCTGAGGCATGAGAATCACTTGAACCCTGGAGGCAGAGGTTGTAGTGAGCCGAGATGGTGTCACTGCACTTCAGCCTGGGTGACAGAGCGAGTCTTGGTCTCCAAAAAGAAGAAAGAAATCAGTATGCCGAAGAGATTATGTGCACTCCCATGTTCATTGCAGCACTGTTCACAGCCAAGATACAGAAACAACCTAAGTGTCCATCAGCGGATGAATGGATTTTTTAAATGTGGCACATTTACACAATGGAATACTATTCTGCTTTAAATAAAAAACAGGACATTCTGTCACTCGTGACAACCTGAATGAACTTAGAGGACATTATGTTAAGTGAAATAAGCCAGGCACAGAGAGACAAATACCATATGAGCTCACTTGTATGTGGAATCTAAAAAAGTCAAACTTATAGAAGTAGAGAGTAGAAAGGGAGTTACCAGATACTGGGTGGGGGTAGAGGGAGGTTGACGGGGAAAAGGGGAGACATTGGTCAATGGGTATAAAGTTACAGTTAGGAAGAATAAGTTCTAGTGTTCCATTGCACAGCACAGTGACTGTAGTTAATACTGTATATTTTATTTGTTTATTTGTTTCTTGAGATGGAGTTTCGCTGTTTTTGCCCAGGCTGGAGTGCAATGGCGTGATCTCCGCTCACAACCTCCGCCTCCCGGGTTCAAGCAATTCTCCTGCCTCAGCCTACCAAGTAGCTGGGATTACAGGCATGCGCCACCATGCCTGGCTAATTTTGTATTTTTAGTAGAGACGGAGTTTCTCCATGTTGGTCAGGCTGGTCTTGAACTCCTGACCTCAGGTGATCCACCCACCTCGGCCTCCCAAAATGCGGGCACTTACAGGGTGCGTGAGCACCTAGCCGCTCCGTCCATACATGACTGTATTTTTCGTTAACCAATAGTGTGGAACAAGCTGAATTTCCAGAATGTTCCCACTTACAAAGGCAGGATGACTTTTTTTAAAAAGGAAGTAGCCGAGCAAAGAGCCAAAGGCCCAAAAAGTATGTATAGTTACGTATAATAAACGAGCTATCTCTAATATATATACCTATATATATTTTTGAGATGATTAGAGTATTGCTAAGTACCCGGATCTGATCATTCACAATG